TCCCGAACGTCTCCACAGATGATGACAAGGGGACTCGTAGACTGGTGCCTCAGCCAGCGCTAAGGAAGGGCCTCCTGAGGGATGGTGCACAGCAGAGGGGTTTCCAGACTGATCATGTTGATTTGGGGGCCCGTTTCCCTGAATGCAGACCCCTTTGCAACTCAAACACCTGATCAACTAGCTCTTGCACGCTCAGGCACGGATGCCGAGGTAGGTCTCAGACCCAGGGTTTCCCAAGAAACCCTCCATGATGATGGAGAGGAAGAATTTGAATCATGGCCAGCGCCACGTTCCACCTGCCTGTAACAGCTCCGGGGTACAAAGCAGGGCCCGTTTCCCTGAATGCAGACCCCTTTGCAACTCAAACACCTGATCAACTAGCTCTTGCACGCTCAGGCACGGATGCCGAGGTAGGTCTCAGACCCAGGGTTTCCCAAGAAACCCTCCATGATGATGGAGAGGAAGAATTTGAATCATGGCCAGCGCCACGTTCCACCTGCCTGTAACAGCTCCGGGGTACAAAGCAGGTAACTGAATGTGCCACGTTCCCCCTGCCTGTAACAGCTCCGGGGTACAAAGCAGGTAACTGAAGCCTGGTCCCAATCAGGACTGGTCACCAGGCCCCCACAGCTACCCTGGCAGCAAGAAGAACATAGGACCTATCCGACTAAGCAGCCGCTCTGCAGAAAAGGACCTGGGGGGGACGGGGGACAAGAAGCTGAACAGGAGCCAGCAGTGTGCCCTTGGTGCCAAGAAGGCTACCAGCATCCTGGGCTGCATTGGTGGGAGGAGATAAAGGGCAGTGATTCTTCCCCTCTATTCAGCGCTGGGGAGGCCACATCTGGAGTCCTGTGTCCAGCTGTGGCCCCCCCCCATTGCAGAAAGGATGTGGACACATTGGAGAGTCCAGTGGAGGGCAATGAAAACTGTTCAGGGGCTGGGGCATAGGACTAATGAGGAGAGGCTGAGGGAACTGGGCTTATTTAGTCTGGAGAAGTGAGAACTGAGGGGGATTGAATAGCAGCCTTCACCTCCCTGCAGGGGGGCTGCACAGAGGATGGAGCTGGGCTGTTCTCAGTGGGGGCAGATGACAGGACAAGGAGCAATGGGCTCAAGCTGCAGCAAGGGATGCTGAGGTTGGATATTAGGAAAAACCTTCTCACCAGGAGGGTGGCGCAGCACAGGAACAGGCAACCCAGACAGGTGGTGGAGTTTTTTTAGACCCAGCTCGACAAAGCCTTGGCTGGGATGATGTAGTTGGGCTGGTCCTGCTTGGAGCAGGGGGCTGCATTAGATGCGGCCTCCTGAGCTCCCTCCCAACCCTCATTGTCTATGAGTCTAGGATCCAACACAGACCGTCTGGGACCATACAGAGGCAGAGGGGCCCTTTGCTAGGCCATTTCATGAGCTTTTCCATCCCAAATTCACCACTCAGTCTCCAAGTCATTGCTGCCAGGCACTCACAACAGACACAGTCCCCAGTGCTTTGAAGAGACCAGGCAGCATCTCCTACAGAGGCGACCAAGGCAGAAGGACAAGCACGCCGAGGTGGGCAGACCAGGAGACTATCGCCCAGTCTGTTTCTGTGGCCTGTGCAGCAGCACCTGCCGAGAAGGTGGCTTGTTAATGGTGGACCTGGGTTGGGTGGTGTGTTCTGGACTGGGAACACCAGCTCCAGGTCCTGTCAGCGGAGATGCACCTGAACCACCACCCTGGGGGATGAAAGGCTTCGTGCCCCGTTGCCAAGCCCCCGTGACTGTCCCGCATGACACGGAGCTGTGGCAACGGCGCAGCAAACACAACCCCTCGAAGCAGCTGCTCAGCCCTCAGCCATTAACCCAGCGCCTCTCCTGGGCAGCTCCCACATGGGCAGAGCTGGGACTCGGCACTTGGGCAAACAAACCCAGAGGCCTCTGACCCCTCCCTGGCCTCCCCCCGTCTCAGACATGATTCCCAGCAAGCCAAGGAGACATCAAAGATCTCGGGGGAGCTTCGCAGCGGCTGGTAATTCTTAATCGTGCTTAACGAGCCCTGACAGCGCAGACCAGCCTGGCTCACCCCGCAGTTGATTTCCAGCGGGCAGGTGCAGTTTCCCAGGCCAGCCTTGTTCCCATCCAGTGCTTCCCTGCGTTCCCAGGCCCTCACACCCCGCTTCAGGGCTCTTGAGCCTGCATCTCCTGACCTGGCAGGACATAGTCTCTGCCACCTTAATGGCAGCATCTTTGGAGCATGAACAGCTCGGTCCCCGCACACTGACCGATGCCATCCCCTGACCCCGGCACCCTTGATGTGCTCTTTACTGGACAATTCACAGCTATGGCGAAGGGAGGGGAGCCCATCATCCCGCTCCCCAGCACCTGCTAGCTTTGAAAGATGCCTTGGCTTGGCTTCCCCCCAGGAACACTGTGCTGCTTGTCCCCAGACCAGCTGCAGCAGCAGAGCAGAGCAGCCTTGGCCCGCGCCAGCGGAGCAAAGGGACTGGGGGGAGCATGACAGCAGGAAGGCGTGTAGGGTCTGGCATGCCCTTCTCCCGGCCCTTCTTCTGTCAGCTGCCCCCCAGCAAAGCAGAATCCATCCCCGCCAGTCTGCACTGTACAACTGGCAGGAGCAGGTCCAGGGTTGGGAGAAGCCCAGCACATGGCCTGTAGTGCAGGCTGGAATGGGTCGGTCATAAATGTCATGACTGCATGTTCCCTTCTCCTTTGGGCAACACAGGGATTTGGACGCTGCCGCTACACCCCACTTTCCAGTGCCCCCTCCTTGCCAGGTGACCAGGCAGCTACTCTGCCCAGCACCAGCTGAATGCCGA